ACCATCACTGAAGCTCGACCTTTGAGCTTGAAGGTCGATTTTTTCGTCGTCGTTGCATCTAAATCGACTAGGTGGAGTAAAGATGACGAAGACGACTGCGGCCGATTGCTGGTGTCTCGGAGCTTGGCGGTGGAGGATGATGTCGGTGAAGTCGAGTTTAGGGCCAACGATCCGGGCCTCCACCATGTCTGGCGGTGGCTGTACCTGGTGACGTGCGATGGTGCCTAGACCATCGGGTAGATACGATTTCGGGGAGAGTCGAGGTGGCTATGAGGTGTGCCGGCCTATGTTACATGGACTCGGGTACAGGTGTCGGATACGGGTACATATTTAAGTATCCGGTATTTATATTTCTAAAAGTTAAAATACGAGGACACGTACCCAAACTTGGACATGGGTACGTGGGTACAATAGTCAGTGTAATAAAATTAAAAAAGTTTAATTTATTTTACAATATTAATAGGAAAAGTATATACATCATTGCAAATTTATATTCATAATAATTCAATTTAAATATACTACTAATGTGAAATAAAAAAATAAAGCAATAAATTAGTAATGCCTAGCTAATAAGTAACAAAATGGGCCTAATAAACGAAATAAAAATCAGCCCAACTACAAATAAATAATATAAAATATATTGGCCCAAACAATGTGGCCCCATACCAAACATAACCCACTAACCCCTTATCCATCCCTCATCTCCTCCGGCGGTAATTCCCGATTCAGAGCTACCACCATGCCATAGTCCCTCTTCCTCATATCCGACCACCTAAACCGGTACTTTCTCACCCTTAACCATCTTTTTTCCATTCTTTCCCACATAGTTCATGACATCTTCTTCACCCGTCCCTACAGCTGTCTATAGTCAACGTATCCTGCCACTTTTGACCGGATCAGAGCNGTCGTGTCGACACGGGTACTCTGGCGGTAGGTGTCGGCGAGGGGCGATGGGATGGCATGGCAGTCACGGCAAGCCGGCAAGAGTAGGGGCCACGATGGAGGTGCTGCAGTGAGAGCTGTTGTGGGCTACGGCCAGTGATGGCGGGCGACGGTGAAGGGAGCTGCATGTATATATGTGTATATGTGTGTGGGAATTGTATGAGAGAGAGAGATCATGAGAGAGAGAGAGAGAGAGAGATTTGTGGCCACGTGTGACGTGTGAGTTGGTGTGCGTTGTTGGTCCATGTATTAAATTACCACATTACTCTTAATGCAAGTATATTTTTAACCTTTTTTTGATCATTCAATTCAATAGTCACGATATATTCTTATTTTTTTTCACTAATACCCTTTTTCTTAGTGGAACCCACATCTTATTTATTTCACTAAGACCATTTCTCATGGAACTCAACCCTATATATTAATTATGTATTTACTATTTAGAGACATATAAGAGCATCTCCAATGGTCTTTCCATTGCTCTACTTTATTACCACATGACATAAAAAATCTTACGTGGCATGAAAAATGTCTAGAAGGCTTTCTAAATGTAGAAGTCCTTCTAAACAACTTCTATTATATATTATATTATTTATTCAATTTATATCTCTTCTTCAACTAATTACAATTTTACACATCACTAATAACACCACAATAACACTAACCATTAAAGACAAAAAATTTTAATTCCCTTTCTCCATGTCATACAACACAATTTCCATTGGAGATGCTCTAACATGCCTCTAATCTCTTTGACTATCCCAAACGTATGTTGTGTGGCCAATTAAAATGAGACAGAGAAATGGGTCGTATATGACAACATCAGAAATTGCAAATGCTCCAGTATTGGACATGTAATGCAAACTCAGAACCTCATAACCAACTGTGTTAGTCGTATACCCAAAACCTATTTTGAACAATACAACAAAATTAAAACAAAAGAAAATAAAACAAAACAAAACAAAACAAAACCCCAAGAAGCTGCTAATATCCCAAATACTTGGGCGCCACCAAGAACAGCGCCTGCAACGCGCTCGGAGAAAACTTCCTCGCGAAAAGGTAACAAACAGAAGTCGTCCCGCCATTATACGAACACTTATTTCCCTCAAACACTCTCCCAAAGAACTCCTCCGTGATGTCTTGGCCACCAAACGTCGCCGGGTGGGCCCCACCCCTTGACCAGTCAACCCACGTGAGGCTTCGGTTTGCCAAAGAACCCCCGGCCCTGATGGTAAGCATGGTCGGGAAATAGTGCTCGTCCACATAGCATGCCGGCTTGCAAAACCGAGCAAATTTCGAGTAGAATTTCTTGTCCTCGACAATGTAGAGCGCGAGGTCTCGGCTGACTTCGAACCATTGGGAGCCCTTGCGCCACTCGGAGATGTCGACCTCGGGCAGCATCTCTGGGCGGTAGCGGCCACGCCCGTATGGCCCAGGGTCGTCAAACGCGCCAGTGAAGCTGTGTTTGGAGGCTGTGATGTAGTTGTAGACTGTGGTGAAATTGTAGAGAGGGATACACGACTCGGAGAGCAGCACGAAACGCTCGTTCGATATGTCGAGAAGGGCGTTTGCCAACAGACGTCTCTCCGCGTCACACATGCTCATTTTTCCCCATTCCGATACCTGTTATGTTAAAAAAAAATAAAAAATAAAAAAATCATGTATATTTCAACCAAATCTTCACCAATCACACCATGTCTAAACTAGTCTAAAAAGCCTAATATTTCCTTTTTTTCACCTTTACACCAAATTCCTTCTAATATACTGCCTTTTTACTTTTTCTTTTCTTTCCTTAAATCTCTTTGAGCTTAGCAGGCTGGGATAGTCAAAGTTCATGCCATCAATTTTCATAGATAGCCTGAAAAGCAGCAACACAAGGATCTTCCAGCAGGCGAATTCAATTAACATGAAACAAGGGAAAAAGAAAAGGAAGATCAAAGTATCAGCAATTACTGTCCACCCTTGACCAAAAAATATTTAGTACCATAGACGTACAATTAGTCATATAACCAACTGATGCAGATTTACCATATAGACCAAGGAATGAATAAACCGGACAAAAGAAACCAAAGAGCTACATATGGGTTTGAAGCCTTATTATTCAAAAATCCACATGTAAAAGAACTATAATTTACCTGACTCGGTATCTGCCTCTTGTAAAACACCGACGAGGTGGGGAAGTCAGCTCTGTAAGAAGGTAAAGCATGAATGTAAATCGAATAAAGCCCGTCATGCCCCTTAAAAAACCTCTCCCAAAGGGAAGCCAAAGGTAAAGGCCCTTTTGTCAAGAACATGAACGCGATTTTCGGGACCCTTTTGAAGGGATATTTTTTCACGCGCGGCACCAATGACGCTCTCCAAAACAACTCCTTATCGTTCATCCCGTGCATCAAATCAGATGGGGGCTTGATCCATTGCTCAAGATTCTTAAGTTCTGTATTACAGGCCAATAAGGTAGTAGTCGGAGGTGTAATTCTGCTACTAACTCTAAAGTACCTAATCATGTAGATGCTAATAACAGAGAAGGTGAAACACATGACCAGAAATAGTACAAGCATATGAAGCAGCCTTTTGGGCAAAACCCTAGCTGGGCTTGTCCTGGTTCCTGGAACAGGATCTTTACCTTCTTCCATTCTAACAACCTCCCTTAATCGAGTCTAACAGTCGGGTGTACAGGAAAAATTATCTTATGAGTATCAAAATTTCCACCACCAAAAAAATCAAGATGAAATCCTGACTTCACATCAAAAAGCATACAAACCCAAAATTCTAAGTACAGCACAAATTACTCTGTAATTCGAACTCTCCCAGAAATTAATATTAAACCCCATGTGTGCCCATACTGACAATTTGAGAAATATAGCTTCTCTTGGATCAGTTACTCTGGGAGAGAATCGCACGGAATTAAAATCAACGCGATGCCATCGAATTAATATCTTCCCAAAGAGGGAAAAAAGCTATTTCGGAAGGTTTAACAAATCTACATACCAATAACTTTAATCGGAATATGTATGGCAGCTATGATTCATTAAGGTTTCCTGCAGAAGCAAATGCCATATACAGCGGTTGATTATATTGTATTAATGGAGAGGAAATATATATCAACTCTGGTAACTGTCGATACAGTATGCATAGAACCTTCTACAAACAATACGGCATAGAAAAGGGAAAACGAACTCACACGAGATTGATTGAACCTGTTAGTAAAGAAAACAAAAAATACAGACAAAGGTACAACAACACAAAGGCTAACACAGGAATTGGGTGGTAAAATCTAAGCGGAAACGAGAAGAGGGGGAAAAAGTGATGTAAATAATTGAGCAATGTGCTTCTCCATGAGTTGTCTATATTCCCTTATATATAATCGACAAAATTGGTTGAGCTTAAATGACATGATAGACTCACCTGTTTCGAAGACAAAAAAAACATTTTTCGTAGTGGATATAAATTATTATTTTTTTATAAAATAATAATTAGGCTTGAATTGCATTAATTATTTATATTATTCACATATCAATCTCTTCCTTCTTTTCTATACAACTAGTGTGTAGCCCCTGTGATATAAGGGTGAACTATATTAAATAATTACTATAAATTAATGAGTGAGTAAATAATATTAAATAATAATTATAAATTAGTGGGGTTAACATGTAATATAATTTACATTGTAAATTATCTTGTTTAAGATGACATAAAACATGCTGAGGTACTGCATTTATTAGAGGAAACAAATAAAAGAATATTTTATGTTAGGTTTTAAATTTTAGTGTATATCTAGTAGGATTATATATTAAAAATAACCATTTACTAATTTTATATATAAAATCTCAATCGTTTCGAAAAAAAAACCATTTACTAAAAATAGCAGTAAAAACTTTTGGATTCATTTAATTCGTACATATGTATTAATTGCTTCTATATACATGTTTTCAAATAAGATCAAATTAGATATGGTAAAAGATATTGTTTCCTTAAATAATTTTAGTAATATCTACAATAATTTAATTGATATCAATTATAATAAATTACAGGATTGATTTTCCATGATTCGCGTTGATAATATTTTGTTCAAGATAAATATCAACAAATTTTTAAGTTTTAACCATAATATTAATTTTTTTTTCGCAAATATTCACTTTTTAACCCAAAATATTTATAGAAAATCATAACAGATTAGGTAGATTTTTTCCTCCAATTAATCAGGTGAAATGAAGCTGGTGAATTAATTGCTTCCAATATAATTTTTTCGTAAGCATTATTTCGTTATATATAAAAAGTAAATTATTCTTCAAATTAATATAATTTACCATTTAAAAGATAATTGTAAAAAAATTAAAATTGAAATATATTAAACGTTCTTTAGAATTTATTTGTATATTATTGCCAACCATGATTTTATTTTTTATCATTTTTTATTTTAATTTCTTTATGTAATGAAATTCCTATAAAATATATTTTCATTACAGAGTATGCTAAATAAACTATAAATACTTAAAATGCTAATTAGAAAAATCTTGATTATAGAAGGGATTGAATTTTTGGCATTCGCTAAATCAAAGTTGTTTAATTAGTATACAAAATTAAATTCTAAAAAAACATGTGAGTTTATTTTGTAGAATATTTATACACTATTTAATTTTAAATTTATTTACATATTTTAAATTGATTACATAAATAAATAATACTAACGTGCATTAAATATTTTTTCGTTACATAAAATTAAAAGAAAAAGAAGAAGTGCAACTTCTATAACTTTTATAAATAATAATGACATTATATGACAACAAAATTTATAATAAAATAATTATTAAGTATTATATAGTGAACAAGAATAAGTAAAACTGTTATTTTCTCTTATATCAAGAAAAAAATATATATACTAAAATCAAATTTATATTAGTATGAATGTGTAGTGAGATAATATATTAATTATTTTACAAGCTAGCTCTTTAATATGTTCATGTTTAATGTCATGTCTAAAAAAACAATGCTGGTTAAAAGATGTGGAAAATAGATTATAACCCTATTGTTTTTCAGAATTAACGATGATTAAAAGATGTGGAAAATAGATGATAACCATATTGTTTTTTAATGTTTTTTAGACCTGTGCATCGCACTGGGTACGTACTAGTCTGTTTGAATGGAAACTTGGATTTATAGAGTTTTCATCATAGCAAACTCTTATTTAGATTAATTTGGTTGAATGAAATTAAGATTGTACGTGTGTTTTCATCATAATCTGTTTGAAGGAAAAAGAACTTGAAAATGAATAGAAATTAGATTTATTCGTACTGCGTTAGGAAATTATATTAGAGATTTTAAAGAATAAAATTTGATATTCAAAAAATTACATTTGATGTATACTTCAAAATCATGTTGCAACTAGGAAAAAAGTCAAATTTCATAGATAATAGATTAGATTTTTATAGTGACCAAATTAGAAGTTATTTTAATATTTAAATTTGAAATTCGAAAAGATAAATGATTTTGTATGTATTCAGAATTTTTCGAGTAAATAATGAGAAAGATATTTGAATTCAACGAAAAACGTAAACATTAGCCGGAATTCTTGAACATAAATTCAAAAAAATCCATCAATTTAGGATGTTTTTAAGGTTGACAGATTTTATGGCAATTAATTAAAAAAAATTAAAAACATACAGAATTTTGGGTTCATTTATGGCTCTCCGATTTTTTGGGGAAGATATTAAAAAGAATTTAAAGAATTGTCAGAAATAGAATGCATTAAATAATTATTGACTTTTTATTGTTACTATTTTTGGTAAATAGGTTGTATCTTTATTTATATATATAGATTAGTTACCGTAAACTATTTTATGTTTCGTTTTCCAACATTACCATATATTACATTTTCTTTCTTATTTTATTCATACACCAATTATGAGAAAATGTGTCTTCTCCTTATTTTTTAAACTTTATAACTTTTTTGTTTGTATTATGTTTTTTTTATATATGATATATAAAATTTATTATCTTTCAAAGATTTTCGATTTGACATTCATATTACATATATAAAAATGCAAAGCAGTGATATATATCCTTATAAAATAAGTTTTAAATTGATTTATCTAACTAAATTAATAGATATAAAAAAAAAAGTACAAATTATCTTATGAGGCAATAGAAATTATTTTGTATTAACATATCATAAAATATTTATTTTAATTGAAAAGAATATATATAAAATAAGTATGAACATAAAATAAATATGAAAAAAAAATTATAAAATTTATGTGTCAACTTAAATAAAGACTACAAAGAAACTGAATATTAAATGATATCTATTTCGTCACAAATCCCAAGCGATGGTTGCCCAGCGGGGTGAAGGTTCTTATTCTAGACCTCCTAAGGGTAAGAAGAGGATGAAGTCCATAGGAAAGGGCAAGACGATCATGAATGATGCGCGACCTCAGCAAGCAGTGAAGAAGCCGAAGGGCAAGTGCCACAATGCCAGCAGAAAGGACACTGGAAGGTCGACTGCCCTCTCCTCAAGAAGGGCGATAAAGGTACATCTTTTTCATTAGTCGTTGAAACATGTTTAGCGGTGTTATCTACCAAAACTTGGTGTGTAGATACATGAGCCACTGATCATGTCTGCAGTTCTTTGCAAGGGTTCCAGGAAACCAAACGGCTTAGGGAAGGAGAAGTTACCATCTACTTGGGCGATGCTAGTAGAGCGTCAGCAGTTGCAGTGAGAGACGCCTATTTAGATTTTAGTTTAGATAGAACTTTGGTTTTGAAGGATTGTCTTTATGTTCCTAGTTTTAGAAAGAATTTGATTTCAGTTTCTAAGTTGATTATGAACGGTTTTTCTGCTATTTTCAATAATAAAGTTGTTATTCATTTTGGCAAAAAGTTCATATGTTCTGGTTCATTAGTAGACAATCTATATATTCTTGAACCAAAGTCATCTCTACTGTAACAGAAACAATTACTTAATTCGTCATCTAAACTAAATAAGAGAAAGGAACCTTCGAAAATGAACGAAACATATCTTTGGCATCTAAGACTTGGTCATATAAATCTTAGGAGGATTCAAAGGTTGGTAGCAGACGGGCCCTTGTGGCTGTTAGAAGTCTAGGCTTTTTCAACTTGTGAGTCTTGCCTGGAAGGCAAAATGACTAAGAGGGTTTTTAAATCAAAGGGCAATTGAGCCGAAGATTTGTTAGGGCTAGTTCATTCGGATCTATGTGGTTCTATGACTGTTCAAGCGAGAGGTGGTTTCGAGTACTTCGTTACGTTTATCGATGACTACTCAAGATATAGGTACATTTTTCTATTGCACCACAAGTCTGAATGCTTTGAAAAATTCTTAGAGTATAAGGTAGTTGTGGAGAAGCAGTTAGGAAAAAGTATCAAGTCACTACGATCAGATCGTGGTGGCGAATATCTCTCGAATGAATTTAGGAACTACCTGACGGATAGTGGGATTACCTCCCAGCTAACTGCGCCGGGCACGCCCCAGCAGAATGGCGTGGCAGAGCGAAGGAATAGGACTCTTATGGAAATGGTTAGAGCAATGATGAGTTATAGTACATTACCATATTCGGTTTGGGGATATGCCCTGGAAACAGCAGTATACATTCTGAATAGAGTACCTTCTAAATCAGTACCGTCAACACCATTGGAGTTGTGGTCTGGGCACAAGCCCAGTCTAAGACATCTCAGGATTTGGGGTAGTCCAGCACACGTGCTGAGGACCGATACTGATAAGTTAGAGTCTAGATCAGAAGTAAGGCGGTTTGTGAGATATTCTAAGAAAACAAAAAGTGGTATATTTTATAGTCCCGAGGACCAGAAAGTAATCGTTAGCACGAATGCAAGGTTCTTGGAAGAAGACTATGCTTTAGATCATAAGCCCAGTAGTAGACATGTCCTCGAGGAAATGAAGGGAGTGAGTACTTCAATACCGAGTGCACCTGATGTTACACCACAAAGTACTGCAACATGTATCACAAATGATGCACCTGAGAAGGTAGTACCTCGTCGTAGTGGGAGGGTTGTCTGGCAGCCCTAACAATTTATAGGTCTGGGAGAGTCTTCTGAGGCCGTCCCAGATGTTCTTGAAATCAACCCATGGACATACAATGAGGCACACCAAGATCGGGATATAGAGTCTTGGCAAAAAGCGATGAAATCTGAGATGGAGTCTATGGATTCCAATCAGGTCTTGGAACTTGTAGAACCACCTAGTGGCGTACACGCCATTGGATGCAAGTGGGTCTATAAGAGAAAGAGAGGACCAGATGGGAAGGTTGAGACCTTTAAGGCTAGGCTTGTTGAGAAAGGGTGTACTATGAAAGAATGGATCGATTATGAGAAAACTTTTTCGCCGGTTGCTACGCTAAAATCCATCAGGATTCTCTTG